TTTCGTATCCACTGTTATTTCTAGGAAAATAAAGTGTCTTCCTTTTAAAGAAACTGAATTGAAAAGCTAGAAAAATATAAAATGTAATTAAAATAAATTTTATGAGTTTCTTATTGTTTGGGAACATTCGAATCCATCCGACACATACCAAATTGTCCGTTACTTCTTGAGTAGAAAGTATTATGTTAGTCCACAGAAATATCTCTATAGCTGTTTGGTACAAAGAATATAACTGTGACAAGTATTTCCATTTTTTGGCGGACCTCTTACAATCGCAATACGCCATTTTAATCCCAAATATTTGTAATGACCAGAAGACTGGTCGTAGAAAGCAAACGATGCACAAACTACGTTTCGTACCAGCTGAATACATGTTTTACTGTTAGCTATCGAAAATGTAATGTTAATACCGAAGAATATTAGTTGCAATCTCCGTTCCGAGATTATAATGGAGCTTATTTCGTTACATAAGGTAAATTTAGCTTCACTTATAAAAGAAGATATTTCTAAATATGATGCAAACGATCGATGTTAGTGTTGAATTGTCATCACGTGACGAGAATGAATCAGTGGCCTTCACTAGTACATGTATTATATAATTGCATTAAAGTATCTTATTTGTTGTCTAAGATTTTAACATTGTAAACGAAATATCGTAGTTTGTCTCATTTAGTATTTTTGTGTTTATAAATTTGTATGCAGTTGGATAAATTAAACAAAACTAATTTAATATTTCAATTTTAGTTTTATTCAGAATTGTATTTTCTTTTCAGACATTTAATTTATTACATAACTAGCAGATGAGCCCGACATTGCTCGGGCAAAAAATTAACAGCAAAGATTAAAATCATTAGATTAGTTCGTACTTCTAACCCTATAATATTATAGTATTTGATTTGTATTTACAAAGCTTATCTCACGTAAGAGTTTACATTACCAATCTAACACATTTAAAAAAATTCTTTAAATTGTGTACAGTAGAGTAATAAAGAAAGAAGGGACTGTTGCGAAAGGGAGTTGAAGTAATTCGATCAAAAGTAGTCGTTGACCTCCTCACGGAAGAGAGGATGCTCAACAACTACTAATTAACACTGGTCTATATTAAAAGTTGAAAAGTGATCAGTGTTAGACATGTAGTGATGGCTCCGCACGTGATCAAAGTTGCTAACCTTAACGTCCGAAAGACTTCATATAAAACTTGATCAAATAAAAATTATCTTGCAAAAATGCGAGAATAATTGTTTATATTTTTAAAACATATGATATAAACTATGTAGAAAGCGTGTTTTCGTAAATATCGCTTTTATAGAAAAATTATTGGGCTGCAGTTTGAAAAAACTGTAGTCCTATAAATTTCTACTGTCCTGCCCTCTCTCGTGTGGAGAAAGGAGTTAGATAAAAATCGAGACCAAATATGGAAATCTTGACTTTCTGCTGTAAGGTTAACTATATATGAACTTACGAGTTTTTACCGGAAGTTCACATATAATTAATCTGCACATTACTTAGATTCAAAAGATTCCCCGGAACGGAGTTAGATAACTGACATGACTATTGCTAACAGAAAGAGTATGATGTGCAGAGGCAAGACACCACTAAAAGAATTGAGAAAGTTGTGACGAAAACTTGTAGCCCCGTAATTTGATTTCACAATAAATAATCGATCGTTAGAACCATTGTAGTTTGATTTATTTTGGTTACGGCAACCCCACACGCGAGCGATCTGTCTGCCGAGGGAAATGCATCCGGGGAAGAATTTTATGTAAAATCTTATTTAGGTGTTACTAATGTGATGAAAACCCGGAAAACTACACGTGGCCAACCCGTTGGCCATACTCAAACCCAGGACAAACTAACCACCAGTGTTCGGTGGTTTTATCAATTCGGCTACTGGAGGGCACTTATTAAAAAGGCATTGTTTAGAAATGAAAAAATCAGAGTGGCGAATGCTATATGCTACCTATCGCAGTAATTAAGTGAATGTAATATAGCCTACATTTTTAAAAAAAATTATATACTTTTTTTGTACGAATTATATTTAGTTTCTGATTTTGTTAATTTTTTTTGCAAATAGATGGTGCTACGTGTAAATCAGCAAATTATCGATAATGGTAAATATAAATTAAATTACAAAAATTCAATAAATATTTTGGATGAGCTGTACGACATTAGTTACGTTAGAAGTATCTAAACGTAATTGTCGAGTTTCGTAGCAATTGATCGAACGACCTAGAAGTGTAAAGCGAACAAACATCCAAACTAAATTCTCATTTAAATATTATATAAAACTAAGTATAAAAACGAAAATTTTGATTAATTTTAATTTATTTATAGCACAATCCATAACTAAGTGATTTTGCCACGTTTACTTTTAATTCGCGTGATTATCGCATTCTCAATCGAAATACAACTTCCTTTTTATGTAAATTAATTTTCTTCTGTCGATTTATGTTTTAATTTTAAAACATTAAGATAGTTTTTTAAAGTCCCTCGTAGTTGAGATCGCGAATTGATGCCGGATAATGAAGGATGAATCTGACATGCCTATGAATCTTCCGAAGAAATCGACTTAAAATTACAGTGGGTGGTCGGTTAACGAACATAATTCGTTCCAAGACTTTGTTCGCTATCCGAATTGTTCGTTAACCGACTATCGATTTACCATAGGTTTCAATGGGAATTTGATTAATTCGTTCTGGAGACTCCCAAAAAGTAAAAAATATATACTTTCTTACTACGTTTATTCATATGTAATAATAAAAATGCATATATACATGGTCTTGCATATTTATTTGTCATATTTTTCCCGTTTGTGGGGGTTAAAGAATCTGCCCAATGTCGATTGCTTTTCTGTCTTCTTCGTGATTTTTCAGAAGTAATTAATCGCATTGTAATTGTAGAGATCCCTAAGCCTATTAACCTCAACCTGGGTTTTTATGCCCTTTTAAGACCACTGTTCTGACATCCTCCCACTTCTTCAAAAGATCTTTAATATCGGCATCAATCCTCTTTTTTCAGAAGAAAACGTAAAAGGATTGTTTCTATCAGAAATATAAAAGGCTGGAATTACAAGGGAGAGTTTCAAAGTTCGGGGGAATACTATCCGATCAGTATATACTGGGTTGAACGTCGATGTCGACGTATCCCGCGCTCCGAAAAGTTTCGAATTGTTGCCTGAAGACAAAGGAAGACCAATCGGTATTCGTTATTTCTTCTTATGTTTGTTCAGTGAAGTGTTCGTTGTCCGATCATAAAAATCTTTCGCGAAAGTGTTCGTTATCCGATTTGTTCGTTAACCGATCTGTTCGTTAATCGATCACTCACTGTATTTATTTAAGCATACTGGTACAACCATGATGCGGAGAGAAACATACAAAAAAATCGTACAGGTTTATACAACATATTCGTTAATACCAAACAAATATATAAAACAACTTTAACTAAAACATAATAGTAAAAAATTAAATTCATCTGAACATAAAAGCGTAAGAACTATAAAAGAAAAAAAATTAAAAAAGGTCAAATTTACCTTAGGTAGTTAAAATGGTGGCACTTCGGTTAGGTTCGTTTCGTTTCCGTTAGATTAGCTACATTTTTAGTAGACGTTTCCTTTTTTTTTATTATTTATTTTGTTCAAGAACTACCGTTAATCAATAACTAGTGATGTTTGGCACTCGGCGGGCTGCCGGCGGCTCCCCTCCGGGAGGAGTCCGTCTGGACCACGAACAGTCGGAACGCGGTCTTGTTGGCTACTTAAGGTAAATCTAACCTTAAAAACTAAATAATTATTAGATAACTAGGCTAGCGGCCGGATAGCCGAGCGGTCAAGGTGGCTTCAATCCGAACGGGTCGAAAAATCCCCAGGAATTTTTCGAGGGGGTGGTCCGTTCGGATATGTCGGGCCCCGTCCCTCACCACCCGGCAGCCCCATTGTGGACCTGGCCGAACCCATAATGGGCTTGCAAAATGAGGCCCTCTTAGTACCCGCAGGGCGGAAAGAGTTCATTCACGGGTGTTCTGTCCTAGGACAGGTCCGTGGAAAGCAGTCAAATTATAGAATTATCCCTCTCCAACATTCTCTATTTCGGGCTTCCTCTTTTATTTCTTTATAAGTTTTGCCTAGTAAAACATCATCTATTAATACTTTTCTTTTTCTTCCTCTTTGTTTCCTTGCATCAATTTTTCCTTCTAATGCCACTCGCATTAATCCTTCTCCTCGCAATATATGACCTAGCCAGTTATTTTTTCTTCTTTGTATTGTTTTTAAAAGAGATCTCTGTTCCTGGACCAAATTTAAAACATCTTCATTCTTAACCTTTTCTGTCCACTTGATTTTCTCCATTCTTCGCCATAACCACATTTTATATGCTTCAAGGTAGTTTGTTTTTCCTTAAGGTCCAAGTCTCTGCTCCATATAAAGTTGTGCTCCAGGAAAAGCATTTTATTAACTTCTTTTTAAGTGTTTGGTTCATTTTTCCAATAATAAAGAGTAGTATAAAAAAAATATAAAAGAGTAGTATAAAAAAAATCAGTTATACCGGTTGAAGCGTTCAATAAACTTTATTGGACCAACGGATAATAGATGATAAGGATGAAATGTGATTAATTATATTCAGAAGAAAATTAAGAAAGACTACTTTTATAATAGTTTAAATCAGTCAAATAGTTATAGACATTTCTAATGAGAACTATAAACACGCTGAGTAAATTTGAACTAAATTTAAGTATTAAAAAACTGATCTTTACTTATTAATTTTTCTTAAATATTTATACAATTAAAATTTAACGTTATTATAAATTATAATAATTAATTAAGAAATTAAAATGATTATACGTAAAATTATTATTATTTCAAAATTTTGTTTTCTATGATTATAGATGTCGCTTTATTCTGAAGTCACGTTGCATGGCGGCATTCTAGGAAACTTTGAAGTAATTTATCCTTTTCAGATCTGATTAGAAAATTTCGTGATGACAAATTCTGTATTTCCGTATTTATGTCCAAAATGCAATCGACAGTATGCTGGAATAGGTAATTTGCAATTATGCTAATATCCTGAAGTGTTATTAATAGGATATTAAATTTTCAATTACATTTATTACCGAATGTTGATAAATACCATATATTTATATAGACATATAAAATTACTATTTAAAAAATACGTAATGAAAATTATTGTAATAATTCGGGTTTTAAATTTACAGCTAAAATAAAACATAATCAGATATTGCATTTTAAGAAAACTTTAAAGTTTTATATAAATGGAATTTACATTTTCAACAAAGTTAATGCAATATTTTTTTATATACAAGGATTATAGCAAAGCTTATAAAAGCAATAACCAAAGGAAGCTTGAGTCCAGCTCTGACATTTAGATATTGTCCACTGAAACTTCATGCAATGTTATACAATTTGTGAAGATATAAGAGAAATTTTAAAAGCAAAAAAGTGGAATTATCTTAAAAAGTTTAAGGTTATATACATAGTTTTCTTGATATTTATGGGTTAAGAGGATGTCAGTCGGAAATGGCTATTAAGGTTGCGTTTTTGAATGAAAATATAAAAATAAGAATAGACTAGTAAATTTAAATCTAAAAAAAAATTTAATAAGGTAAAAATGAAAAAAGCCAATTAGGATGATTATAGATATCACCTGTTTGCCATATTTGCTGTATACTCTACAAAACAATTTGCATATTCAAGTGGTTTATTATTAGAATGTGTGAAATTTTGTTATATCTTTATAAATTGTGGAGTGTGGCTATTTTTATTATTTTATTGCTTGTAATAATTATTTTTTCTATGTTTTTAAGTCATTACTTTATGCTTTATCTGTAATCATTGATACAAATTAGGTAGATTTGACGTCATGACTCGCTTGTGTGCTTATGCAAAGTAGATGTGCAAGTTGTTCATTGTGTTAGATTGTGAGATTCATTATCAAGTTCATTACCAAGATCTGAAAATGGAATATACCTTTTGGGACTTACTGAACGACGAACGTGGAGCTATAAGTTTGTTTCAGAAAAAAGGAATTTCACATTCTGAATGTATTTGCAATAATAACCATCCAATGAGTTTGTATTTTTGTGAAACAGAAGCTCTGAAATGGAGATGCCATGTCAGGACATGTCGACAGAAAACAGGCATTAGGACAGATAACTGGTTTTTTGGTTCACGTATATTCTTCCTTGATGCTTTGCATTTTATATACGTTTGGTTGCTGGAACTTTCTTTGTTGGAATTTTGTAAAATGCAAGTAGGACTAGACTTTTCTACAACCATCGATTGGAACAGGTACATGAGGGAGGTCTGCACCCATTCTTTAATGACTCGTTGTGATGGAAAGATAGGTGGTGTTGACAAGATAGTTGAAATAGACGAAATGATGTATATAAGAAGGAAATACAATGTTGGTTGTGTTTTACCCCAACGATGGGTGTTTGGTGGACTATGTCGAGAGACAAAGGAATGTATCCTTGTTCCAGTGCAAAATCGTTTGGCAGAAATGTTATTGAAGGAAGTGGTAAATCACATTAATGAAGGAATGACCATATTTTTGGATTGTTGGAAAGGCTGTAATACCAAAGAATTACAAGAAGCAGGATATTTTCATTATCAAGTAAATCACAAATTAAACTTTGTCGATGCGGATACTGGATGTCACACGCAGAACATAGAGAGGTTTTGGGGAAATTGTAAATGGAGGAACAAGGTACAAAGAGGTACTTCATCATCATCATCTCAACTCTTATCTGATTGAGTTTATGTGGATAAGAGAGAACCGTAAAAACGAAGCATTTTCAGCAATCTTACGAGACAAAATTCATGCCACCAAAATGATAAATTATTAATGTAAAAAATAAGCATTTTCGGAAATTTGTTAATTATTTAAAGTATGCCATTTGTATAACATTAATTTATTGTTTGATTTAACAATTGTATTAAATTTGACAAATAAAAAATTGCATTATTTGGAAAAAACGTTGTTTCCGACTGGCGTCCTCTTAACCCATAAGTACCGTTTTCTTTTTCAAAAAAGATTTGAAATGTTTATTCACTGCAAAGGTATTTTTGACAACAAAAGTTTGTTGATATGAAATTCATTGAATGTGTTTGGTACACTTAACTGTTCAAATTGAACAGAAGTTTGATAGTTATTGGTGCATTATCTAATAAAATGGCTTCAATACTTCTGGATAAGCAAGCCAATGACATAGTTCATTTTAAATGAAATAGGCTATGTCATTGTCTTGCTTACCAGCTGTATTAAAACTTCTTTTTTAGGCAATATCCCATTAGGCTTCTACATAAAAGTATTGGATCTGCTAAACAATGAATTTACTAGTTGAAACAGATAGACAGTGATACAATACAGCTTCTACTTGCATGTAGATTAAGTGTTACAGAAAAATAATTAATGGTATAGTAGCAGTTAACTAAAACATGTTTTCAGTTACTGAAGACTGTGCAAGTATGTTACTACTATAATATATGTTTTTAATGTATAAAAGTTGTTACAGTCTGTTATGTAGGTGCAATTATGCTTGGTCAGCTGTAGCTATGTGAAAGCACAATACTACTAGTCAAATATTTAAAAATGCAGTACAGTTTCAATTTTCAAACATTTTTGGTCTTAAAAACCTTCTTCAGGAATAAGCAACTTTCAATTTAAAAAGAAGAGAAAACCTTTCATTTTTTTAAATTGAAATTTGTTTCTTCCTGAAGAAGGTAATTTAAGAAGATCAAGAATGTTTGGCCCACTGGTGGCTAAGATAAAACCACTGAACCCTGATAGTTGGTTGTGGGTTTGCTCCTTGCCAATGGCTGGTCATGTGGTGTTTTCTGGGTTTTCTTCATGTTTGTAACACTTAGAGGCCAGTTTCTCATAAAAGTTTCCTGGGAAGCATTCCCCCTTGGCAGATTGTCCATGTGTCATGTTGCAGTAAATGAATAAAAACAAACAAACCAAAAATGTTTGAAAATTAAAATTGTACTGCATTTTTGAAGGTTTGAGTAATAATACTGTGGTTTATGACAAGTGCAGATTTCAGAGAAGTGTAGCTATGGAAGAAAGTGTAAATGAAGTTTTCTATTAAACTAGTAGCCCTGGACTCCCCCTAGTGGGCGTTGTTTACAAATTTCCATGAAGCACGGTTTCTTTGACTTTTTGTTCCTATCAATATGCTCTTCAGCTCTGTTGTAGTCCCAATGGTAAGATTAGGTGAAGAGGTGGCNTTTTATATTATTAATTATTATAAAATAGCAAAAAGCTTAATTTTGAAGATAGAGATGAGTTTTATTTTAAAAAAATTATAAATGTTAATAACGAGTAAAAATCTTTATTAAGTCCGACCGTACTGGAGATATGACGTGTTAATCTCTCTGTCTCCCTATCCCTTGACCTTTAACCGCCAAAATTTAATAGCATCAATCTCTCTAATACACGAACACTCTGACAAATTTCAGAAATTGTCGACAAAAGGCACAGGAATTATTGAGTTTTAAAGTAGGTAAACAAAATCCTGCCCCACCCCACGTACACACACGCATACATACAGAAAATCCTCGAATGTTTTTGCATTTCTGGACGTTTCAAAATCCCCTGAGTCCAGAAATGTAAAATGTTTGGGGGTTATTTTTTTGACCGATCGTCATACTTTCCCTCTGTCAGTGTCGCATCCATGGAGGCCAAGGGGTCCTGGCCTCCTCCAAAGAAAAAGGAAAAGAAACAATAGAAAATTTTGCTAATTAAAATTTATTTTTTTATTTGTAACTGTGTTGTTTCTTTTATACTATTAATGAATTTCTATACAGTTGCATAAGATGAGAATTTTATTGAATTAAAAATTCTTTTATCCACTTGGCTCCCCTGAAGATTAAATCCTGATTACACAACTGCTAATGATACTAAAAGTATTCAGCAGAAAAATACTTGTACTGTACTTACCAGAACTGTTGATGGTGCTGAGTGCAGCCATTGACATATGTTTAGAGTGCTTGTATATGCTGTACAGTGCATTCTAACAAGACATTTTACTAAATATATTCAGCCAATAGTTTGTCTAATCTATTAACTGAAGGGAATATTTAAAAACTCTCATCTTTTTTGAATATGTGTGACAATGAATATAACCATAATGCAAGTATATGCACTTATAACCTTGTAGATTTGTATAAGTGGATGAGTTTACACTCAAATTAGCACTATCATTAGCCAAGTTTCTTCAAAAGACTACTTGATAGTCAGAGATTGGAACTCTAAAATTGGAATGGATTTAGGAAAAACTTTCCTTTTTTTCTGCAGTGTGCATGATCTGTAAGAAACCAATGACAGAGGACATAAACTAATTGCATTTGCAATCCAACACAATTTAAAAATAGTTAACACATTATATGCACACAAACAATCTAGAAAATGGAACTGGACATTGCCTGATGGATTCATCCATAATCAAATTGAGTATATTTTGATTAGAACAATTTACAAAACTTCAATAAACCTACCAAGAACCAGATCCTTTCCAGGTGCAGACATTGGGAGTTATCATAACATGTTAATAGCAACCTTGAACTTAAGATTAAAAAGAACAAAAATAAACCTTAATCAAAGGGAAAGATATAATCTTGAGAAATTAATAATATCATGTATCAAAGAAAATACCAAGTTCAAATCTCAAACTCAATAGTAGTACATAAAGAAGTTTCTACCAATCCTGAAAGCAAATATAAAACATTTTCACAGATAATAAAGGAAGCTGCGGACAATATTTTGGGAAGAGCTCGCAAAGTTAAAAAACCCTGGATAACCCAAAATCTTTTGGACATGTGTGACAAGAGAAGATAAATCAAATCTAATCTAAATAAAGATGACAATAAAGAAAAATATAAAATATTAAATAATAAAATTAAAAAAGAAATTAAAGTAGCAAAGACTAACTGGCTCTTCAGTAAAAAAATATTGAGAACAACTTACAAATGAATATTCTTAATGATGCATACCAAACTATAAAAAAATTAACTAAACCCTA